CCCAGCCTCCTGACCCAGCCCCTCCTGACCCAGCCCCTCCATGGCCCTTCCACACCCAGCCCCTCCTGACAGCCCTTCTGATAGCCTCCCAGCCCCTTCCTGATCCAGCCCCCCCTGACCCAGCCTCCTGACCCAGCCTCCCAGCCCTTCCCTCACAGCCTCCCCAGCCCAGCCTTCCTGATCAGTCCTCTGACAGCCTCCCTGACCCAGCTTCCCTGATCCAGCCCCTTCCCTGACCCAGCCCTTCTGATCCAGCTCCTGATCCAGTCCCTCCCTGACCCAGCCCTCCCTGACCCAGCCATCCCTGACCCAGCCCTCCCTGATCCAGCCGCTCCTGATCCAGCCTTCACTGATCCAGCCTCCTGACCCAGCTCCTTCCTGATACAGCCCCTCCTGACCCAGCTCCTGATCCAGCCCTCCTGACCCAGCCCCTTCCCTGATCTAGCCCCTCCACTGCCCTTCCTGACCGCCCTTCCCTGATCCAGCCCCTCCTGACCCCCCTCCTGACCCAGCCACCTGACCCAGCCCCTCCCACACTCAAGCCCTTCCTGACCCAGTCCTCCCTGATCCAGTCCCTCCTGAACTCCGTCCCTCCTGACCCAGCCTCCCTGATGCACCCTCTCCCGATCCACCCTCTGTAATTCAGCCTCCCTGATTCAGCCCCTTGCTCACACAACAATCCGATACAGTAATAAATAAAGTGGTTAGGTTAGGCAACACACTCGGGCTAGGTTAGGTTAGGTTAAGTAACACCTCGGGCTGGGTTAGGTTAGGTTAGAGTAACACACTCAGGCTGCAGGTTAGGATTAGGTAACACTCAGACTGGGGTTGGGTTAGGTACACACTCCGGGGTAGGTTAGGTTAAGTAACACACTCGGGCTAGGTTAGGTTAGGTAACCACTCGGGGTAGGTTAGTTTGGAAGTAACACACTCAGGGTAGGTTAGGTTGGTTAGGTAACACACTCAGGCTAGGTCAGGTTGGGAAACACACTCGGGTAGGTTGGGTTAGGTAACACACTCGGGGTAGGTTAGGTTAGGTAACACACTCAGGGGTAGGTTAGGTTAGGTAACACACTCGGGGTAGGTTGGGTTAGGTAACACCTCGGGCTGGAGTTAGGTTAGAGTTAGGTCACACTCCGGGCTGGGTTAGGTTGGTAACACACTCGGGGTAGGTTGGTTAGGTAACACACTCGGGCTAAGTTGGGTTAGGATACACACACTCGGGGTAGGTTAGGTTAGGTAACACACACTCGGGCTGGGTTAGGTTAGGTTAGGTAACACACCTCGGGCTAGGTTAGGTTAGGTTAGGTAACACACTCCGGGCTAGGATAGGTTAGGTAACACCTCGGGGTAGGTTAGGTTAGGTAACACACTCGGGCTAGGTTAGGTTAGGTAACACACTCGGGGTAGGTTAGGTTAGGTCACACTCGGGGTAGGTTAGGTTAGGTTGGAACACACTCGGGCTAGGTCAGGTTAGGAAACACACTCAGGGGTAGGTTAGGTTAGGTAACACCTCGGGTAGGTTAGGTTAGGTAACACCTCGGGGTAGGTTAGGTTAGGTAACACCTCTGAGATAGGTTAGGTTGGGTGAACACACTCCGGGGTAGGTTAGAGTTAGGTTAGGACACACTCGGCTGGTAGGTTAGGTAACACACTCAGGGTAGGTTAGGTTAGGTTAGGTGACACTCGGGGTAGGTTAGGTTAGGTTAGGTAACACACTCGGGGTAGGTTAGGTTAGGTTAGGTAACACACTCGGGGTAGGTTAGGTTAGGTAACACACTCTGGCTAGGTTAGGTTAGGTTAGGCAACACACTCGGGGTAGGTTAGGTTAGGTAACACACTCAGGGTAGGTTAGGTTAGGTTAGGTAACACACTCGGGCGAGGTCAGGTGAGGAGCAACACTCAGGGTAGGTTAGGTTAGGTTAGGTAACACACTCGGGCGAGGTCAGGTTAGGTAACACACTCCAGGGTAGGATTAGGTTAGGTTAGGTAAACACACTCGGGCTAGGTTAGGATACATCATCACCAATGCTATCACCACCACTGTCATCACCACTACTATCACCACCTCCTCAACCACCACTACTATCACCACCACTGTCATCACCCTGCTATCACCACCTCCTCAACCACCACTACTATCACCACCACTGTCATCACCACTGCTATCACCACCTCCTCAACCATCACTACTATCACCACCACTGTCATCACCACTGCTATCACCACCTCCTCAACCATCACTACTATCACCACCACTGTCATCACCACTGCTATCACCACCTCCTCAACCACCACTACTATCATCCACCACTATCATCACCACTGCTATCATCACCTCCTCCATCACTACTATCATCCACCACCACTTCCTCAACCTTCACACACACACACACACACACACACACACACCTGCTCAAAACCACCCGTAAACCTACGTCGTTCCCAGAATATTTTACACCTGTCATAAAAAGGAAAATTATCACGCGTCAGTTTAAGCCAACCATCAAATTACAGAGAAATTAAATAATTAATTGTGAATGAATTGGAGGGTTTCATGTGAGGTAGCGGCCCTTTTATGGAAATTAGGTCGAGGGTAATGGCCAGTCTGCGGACGTCGGTGCCCTGAGGAGAGAAGATACCCTGTTGAATCTCCCCCGACCAGAGTCATGCAGGTACACCCCTCCTAAGGTCTTCATTCTTGTAACAGATGGTCGAGTGGTGGGTCTTACGGGCGAAGGAGGCGCTGCAGGGGTTTTATAGGCCCTCAGGGTGGTGATGGCATTGCATGTTATTCACAGCATGTGGAGGATGATTATCTGATTGACCGTACTTGCAAAAACGCCAACGGTG